AAAAAAAAAAAAAAAAAAAAAAAAAAAAAAAAAAAAGAAGAAGAAGAAGAACAAAGCCTTAAGGCCCTGGCTCCTTATCCATGACTTCCTTCTGTTCTTTAAACCACCTGTACTTGGCCCATATATCGGCCGCGGGCCCTTGTTGTATACGCGCCACAATTTTTGGGGCCTTTGCGGCCGAGGATGATTTTCATCAACGGCCCGCCACGGTTCGTTTTCGGCGCGCAGGGCCATCCCCATGGTTCACATTGACAGCTGGGCGAAGTACTGGTGGTTTGAGCCCGACCATGTTTTTTTTTTTTTTTTTTTAAGTCCGGCCATGTTGCTCTACAACGGTGCTCTTTCAAAGGACTGTCTATAGCAGAATTTGCCTCAGCAGCGGCAGCTACTACTTCCACCATTGTCTGGGACTGTTGCAGTTTGCTTTCTTCTGTCCTTCGGTTGATCACACGGAGGATATGATCTTCGGTGGCTGTTCCCACCTGCTGAAGTCCATGGTGAAAGGCTTCAAGAATTTCCACTTCCTTTCTCCTACCACGGCCGACTTCTCCAACATCGCCAAGAAGGTAAGAAGGGGTATGAGGTACTCCCAAGATACCAAATTGTGACGATTCTGATCACCAGAAGCTCAGAATATCAATATCATGGAGGTAGTCTCTCTCACACACAATGTAGTCTGAAATCTGCAGCAGCATGTAACCAGAACTACCGTCCTCACCTGAATAGAACGCCCGGTCAGTATCGCTGCATCTGGACCGAAAGTTGTGCCAAATACAGCTATAATGACCGGGCATTCTATTCGGGTGAAGACGGTAGACCAAGGTGGATAAGAAGTAGAGAAGAGGAGGAAAAACTCAATAACAATCAATGAATACACTATCCGGCTCTTCATTCAGTCCCACTTCTATCTTTGGGGCCCTTCTTCACCACCATGCCACCTCAGTAAGCAGTCTCACCTTCATGCTGCTGACAAGTTCTCTCTGCAGCAGTCTCCGTCGTCAGGCGCTCACAACCTCAAGTACGAAGCTCAGCTATGGAGGTTGGTAATCATCACCACCAGCCTTCCAGATGAAACGACTTCTCTCAATGTCACCAGCAAGAACAGGTAAGTCGGGTAAGCCTCTCCCTTCTCTCTCTCTCACAGGTCTTAAACCACCAGTGCACCGGGGCTTGGAGGCGCTGCACTGCGCGCCAAGCTTTTCCGATGCACCGGCGGCGCACTTTTTCCTTTTCAGGCTGGTGCTGCCAGCCATTGTGGTCCAGTAGCCCCAAGCCGTGAAAAATTTGGAGCTGACAACTCACAATTTTCTACAAGTCTGGGGCTGTGTGCTGGTGGTTTAATCACCCTCAACCTCTCTCTGTAATTAGTTATGGCGCTGGCGCCCCTACTCTAGCTATGGCTTCAATGGCTGGCGCTCACTCTCTCTCCTTATCTCGCCAGCATCTTTGCCTCCTCCAGCGCTATCCTGCAGCAGCACGAGGCAAGAATGGATTCGTGAGTGGATTCATGAGCTGGGGTAGGCCAGATTTATACAGTTGACTTGGTCTGGCCTGCCTCAGGTTGCCTCCTCGAACAGCTGATATTTCCCAAACTTCGATGTAGATTTGCTGTCAGCCACTGTGTGCCTGGACCCAATGAACTGTGGAAAATTCTAGAACTCCACAGACAGCCGTTGATGTGCATCTGATCTATGGCCGTGGTTGACTCCTGGGAAATCTAAGACGCTACACTTGCTGTGCCCAGTGGGCCTGACTCTTGGAATCCAAGAGTCAACAGTTGCTGGGAAAGGGCACCTGAGGTCCTCTTTTGACATTTGACCCAGTGCCTGTTCACACGTGGAATTTCTGGAGTCCTAGAGCAGCAGATGTGACTGTTGACCCCTGAATTTGGCCTTGGACCAAAAGAATGGGACCCTGGACTGAATTGAGTTGTTTGCAGCCATCTTAATCTTTCTCCTTAGTCGAGGAGGATAACCTTTTCTCCTTGATCGCTACAAGCAGAGGCACAGCTGATGATCCTCTCTAGATTCTGCTTCCCCGTTCCCTTCCTCCCTTCTCCCACTCCCTCCCTTTAAAATCAAGAGACGGATCAACTGAGTAAATGAGGTAATTAAGTAAACTGATTAATCAAGTGAGTAATTGAATGGCTAATCACCTGAGTTATCCCGTGAACAATCAGGTAAATAATCAGGTGAGTAATTAACCAAGTAATCGGGTGAGTAACGGAGTTGTGAAATAACCGCAGTAATCAAGTGAGTAAGTGAACGAGTAACCAAGTGTGTGACGAGGCCGAGGCAGAGCAGAGAGGTCGAGGGAGAGAGAGAGAGAGGGAGAGAGTGAGAGCACACACACACACACACTCACTCGACTCGGACACGGACTCGACTCGACACGACGGATGCAAACACGAAGTGACAAAGTCTCAAAGTCGCAAAGTCGCAATCTTGGATTCCGAACACAAAGTCGTGGCAAGTCACACTGAAGCACAAGCACTGAGGCCGAAGACTGAATGCCCCAACGGGGCTTGAGTCCGGACTTACGTACCGGACTCAGGCTCAGTCCGGAGGGCCGAGGTGCGGCCTGCCTCAGGACTGAACTGAGGATCGCAGGTCTGTGTCTGGGCGCCAGAATGCCGGATGGCGCCAAGTATCGAAATCCGAAAATGCCAGTGGAGGAATTTGAGAACGGGGGCCAACTGCAGAGGGCGCCGGCGGTCCAGAACTGGAAATCAGGAACTCAGAATAAAATAGCAGCCCCACGGGTGGTAACCTGCGGACCAGGGATCGAGCTCGGGCTGAGTCCGTAACACTATCCCTTTCCTCTAGAAGGCAACGTCTCGGCCGCCAAAAGTCATGAAACAATGCTGAAAACTGCGGAGGACGGGACGGGCCCGATCACTGGTCAGCCAGTCACAAGGGAAGAGGGGTATAATGCAGGTGTCTGGTTGTGTGATTAGGGAACATGGCTTGCAATTGTGAGCTGGGAACATGGTTGTCTATTGATGAGCTAAGGGAACATGGTAGTTCTACTGATGAACTAAGGGTTTAGGCCCTTTAGGGACAACGGGGAACAGGGCAATCCTACTAATGAGCTAAGGGTTTTGGAACTGCGGGGAACAGGGTGGTCGAACTAAAGGTTTAGGGACAACGGGGAACAGGGTAATCCTACTGATGAACTAAGGGTTTTGGAATTGCGGGGAACAGGGTGGTCCTATTGATGAAGTACGGGTTTTCAGGGGTATGGTTGCAAAATTTCTGAGTAGTGGTCATGCAAAAGTCTTGGGAACAGGTCTTGAGAAGGATCGCAGAAGTATCGAGGAGGGAATAGTCTTCAGTCATCTCAGGACTCATCAACGGGGCTTCAGGTTGGATGTCTCAGTAGCATGAGGCGTGGGTAGTCTTGATCTGGTGCTAAGGTCTGATCCGGATGGCAGGTCGCAGACTGATATTGATGTCAATGTTGAGGTTGCTGCTCCAGAAGTCTGCGAGTCCAATGTGTCGGCCAATGGGAACAGCATGGTGGCCAACCAGCTGCTTTATCTCCTCGAACTGAGCTGCAGCATGCCATCGTCCCCGTGCGCTTGCCATTAGATCCATTATCGCCGGCGACGCGCAGGGGCCACATAGGGAACTTGGACAAGAGAGACAAGGATGTGACGGAGGACAGATGGGAGAACGGGGCAAGGCGGAGGCAAGAGCGGATCAGACAGGGGGGCTTCAAGAGGCAAGGGCTTTGCTGGGTACAGGGGTGTGTGTAGAGCAGGAATGCAGGATTTGGGCGGGGTCGAGGCGGGATTTATGCAAGGGTTCGGGTTTTGAGTTACAGTATGTATCTAGGGTATAGGGTGAGCACGATCATATGCGTGAACAAGCTTCATAGCATTCTTAAGGTTAGCAAGAGGTTCCCATGTAGAGGGTATCCTGTGACTTCCTGTCCATTTAACTTTGTATTCTGTGATTGGCTCACGGTGGTCAGATACCTGAGTAGTTCTTCGTCCTATGATGGCTTCGACGACGAATTCAGGGCCCGTGGGTAACATGATTGGTGGAGGTCTAGGATATGGGCGGTCAGCGAATTGGGGTGGGGATTCATGGTATTCTTTTAGGTATTTGACGTGGAAGACCGGGTGGACTCGTGTCCGGGGGGAGTTGGAGTTCGTAGTTGACGGGGGAGGTTTGTTCAACGACGGGGAAGGGTCCGAGCCACTTGTTCGAGAGTTTCTTGGACAAGCCATGTTCAGGTTCAAAGCGTTTGGCGGAGAGCCAGACTTTGTCCCCTACTTTGAATTGCAAGTCACATCGGTGTTTGTTGGTCTTGTGTGCTTGTTGTTCTTGTGTTCTTTCAAGGGCTTCAGTTGCTTCTCTGAGGAGTCGATTCATTGTTGCTACCCATTCATTGTGAGAAGGGCAAGGAGTGGAGGGGTTGAGTTGCGAGGGGAGCAGGAAATCAGAGGGCAGGCGCGGGTGATAGCCAAGGTCAAGGTAGAATGGAGTCATGTCAGTGGAAGGACAAACAACGTTGTTGTAGGCGATCTCGCGGCGGTGAGCAACTGATCCCAACCGTGTTGATGTGGATGACGATACTTCCGCAGGATTCTTTGGAGAGTATCGTTCATCTTCTCAGTTTGTCCACCGGTCTGTGGGTGGAATGCGGTGCTATACTTGAGCGTGGTTCCGTAGGCTTTAAAGAGGTGTTTCCAGAATTGTGAAAGGAAGCGAGGGTCATGGTCACTGATGATGTTCTCGGGGAGACCGTGATGGCGAGCGACATGGTCGAAGAAGATTATGGCGACGTCCTTGGCGTTGTGCGATGTGGTGCAAGGGATGAAGTGGGCGCGTTTAGTCAAGCGGCAAACAATGACATAGATGCAATCATGTCCGCGGTCGGTCTTGGGGAGACCGCAAACGAAGTCCATGGAGATGGACTGCCACCGCTGGGTGGGGATCGACAATGATTGTAGCTTGTCGGGCTTGGCGAGGTTCGAGGGGTTGACGGTTTGACACGTGGAGCATAAGCGGATGTATGCTTTGACGTCGGCGAGTAGGGAAGACCAGTGAAAGTAGCTGGAGATGGTGTCGAATGTTTTATGGAACCCAAGATGACCGGCAGTCTTGGCATCGTGGTGTTCGGCCAAGAGTTGGGTACGAAGACCACATGCGTCAGGGATGCGAAGTCAGCGAGTGCCTTTGGTATCGATGTAAAGGAGATTGTCATGGAGGGAGTAGTCGGGGACAGGGTTGAGGTCACGAAGTGTGTTGTAGATGGTGGCGAAGTCTGGGCAAGAGAGATAGCCTTGGGTGTAGCGATGGTGAAGAGATGGGTGGAGTTGGATATGTGTCATTGTGGCAAAAACTTTGTCAGGGGGTTTGTGATCGGGGCGCCGGGAGAGGGCATCAGCAACACGGTTGCTTTTGCCGGGTATATGGCAGATGGTGAAGGTGAACTGGGCGAGAAAGTCTAACCAGCGAGCTTGTCGCGGGGTAATGTCTTTCTTTGTTAGGATAGAAGAGACGATGATGTTATCCGTGCGGACGGTGAAGTATTGCTCGTCCAGGTACGGGCGCCAGACTTTGAGCGCGTGGATCATGGCGAGGAGCTCCTTCTCGTTGGAGGGGTAATTCATTTCCGCGGGAATGAGTTTCTTGCTGGCGAAGGCAATGGGGTATTCACCTGGTGGAGCCTCGGGGTGGGTAGGGGATTCCTTGATGGAGGGAGTTTCGGTGGTGTCACGAGGGAAATGTTGGGACAGGACGGCTCCAATGGCGAAGTCGGAGCCGTCGGTGGTGACGTAGAAATGGCAAGTGGGGTCGGTGATCTTGAGGACGGGGGCGGTGGTGATGAGTTGTTTGATGGCATCGAAGGCATTTTGTCGGCGGTCGTTCCAAGTGAAGGGTTCGTCCTTGCGGGTGAGTTCGTGGAGAGGGTACGACCTTTAGCGGAGACGATGTGGCCAAGGTATTCAACGCTTGAAGCGGCAAAGGTGCATTTGCTGAGCTTGGCGTAGAATTTTTGCTCTCTGAGGATAGAGAGGACTTGGGGGAGATGTTGAAGGTGGGACTCGAAGGTGGGGCTATAGACAAGGATATCATCGAGGTAGACAACGACACAAACTTCGAGGAGGTCGCAAAAAATGTGATTCATTGTAGATTGGAATGTGGCAGGGCTGTTTGTGAGGCCGAAGGGCATCACGAGGAATTCGTAGTGCCCGAATCGGGAACGGAAGGCGGTCTTGTGGAAGCCACTGCGAAGGTCGACCTTGGTAAAATACTTAGCTCCACGGAGTCCATCGAGGAGCTCGGAGATCCGAGGTAGGGGGTACTTGTTCTTGATCGTGATCTGGTTCAAGGTGCGGTGGTCTGTGCACATCCGAAGTTCTGATGTTCCTCCTTTCTTTACAAAATGGCAGCTTCTGCTGAAGGGGGATGAACTCGGCTTAATGAATCCTTTCTCAAGGAGTTCATGGAGCTGCCGCTTTGCAGCTTCTGCTGAAGGGGGATGAACTCGGCTTAATGAATCCTTTCTCAAGGAGTTCATGGAGTTGCCGCTTTCTTTCTTTGGCTTCTGGAACAAAGAGTTGGTACGGGGGCCGGCACGGTGGAGAGTGGCCGGGTTCCCTAGGGGTGAAAAGTGGGGGTACCTGTTAACCATTTGTGCAAATCGATGGTGTGGGATACGCCATGATCCGGAGATAATCCAGTAGGCAAGGACTCAGGGAAGACGTCCTTGAACTCGTTGAGGATGGAGGTGAGGGCAGGGGTGGAGGGGGGGGCTTGGTCGGGTTTGTCCGTTGTGAACAAGTCCTCGGGACGCTCGCGATCAAGGACAAGGCAATAGTAGGTGGAGTCAGGGTTCGTGCGCGCCATGTGAAGGAATTGGTGCGGGGTGACGGAGATTGGGGAGGTGAGATAGGGGAGATAGGGAATGTCGATGGTTGTGTCAGGGGGGTTGGTAAGGCGGAGGAAGTTGGGGGGGAACTCATATGGCATGTAGTGGTCCAGCCACGGTGTTCCCAAAACGATATCGCACATTAAGTGCATGACATCAAATGAGACCTGACTGCGGAGGGTTCCGACAATCATGGTGGTCTTGGGAACCGTGCGTTCTACTACGACGGCGGTGTCTTTGTCTCCTAAACGAATCGTAATCGGGGAGTCGTATCCGGTAGAGGTAAGACCAGCTTTTCGGACACACGCATCGGTGATGAAGTTTCCGGTGGCTCCAATGTCGAGGAGGGCCGGGAACTTCGTCGTAGACGCACCAAGGGAGGCGGCGATGAATTTGAGGTGAAAGCGTGATGAGTTGGCGGTGGAGATAATGGTGTTGAGGCGGCGTTGTTTATTGCCTAATCGGACAAGCCGATCGTGTCGGGCTTGTTCCTCAACAACATCAGAGAAGGTGACAGAGGATGGATTCGGAAGGAGGGTTGAGGAACAAGTGGCAGTGAGGGGACCCTCAGGCCGCGAGGGTTGCGATGCCTGGGGGTCGTCCGATGGGGGGTGCGGCACCGGGGAGGGGGGAGGCGGACGTATTGTCGATGCCAAATGGGCCACCGGTGGGATGGAGATCGTCACCGATGGGGTGGCCGGCAGACTAGCCGTCGATGTCGGGGCGGAGACCTGGGGACAGTGTTCAGGTCGAGGAGGGGCCCGCTCCTGCCGAGGGGGGTGATGAGGAGGTTACGGGCCGGGGAGCCACAGACTGGCGTGTGAAATATCTAGCATTTGGCAGTCTGTTTGCAGGTGGCCTAATTGACGGCACTGGAAGCATCCACACTTTGCTTGAAGGTAGGCTCTTTCCTCGGGTGTGAGTTTCTTGAGGCGGCTCGGAAGGGTGGTCGGGGGAGGGCGGCTGGAGCGATCTCTCCTTTCCATTCGCATGAGGTGAATGGCAGAGAGTTCGTCGGGGGAGAGCAATGTGGTATCTAGTGGATCGGAGAGGGTGTCAGGGTCGGGGGCGGTGAACTCGTCCGAGGAGGTGGTGGAGGTGGTGTCCTCAGAGGCGATGTTGTGGAAAAAGCGAGGGCGGGAGGGGTGATGTAAGTGCAGTCTTGTAGGGGGAGAGGATGCGGTCGAGTTGGAGGGCACGAGTGAGGAGGTCGGCGAGGGTCATGGGGGGCTCATGGACAAGGGCGGCCGCTAGGTCTTTGCGGCATACGCGCTTAACGCGGGGGATGAAGGCGAAGTCGCTGACGACGTCGATGGGGATATGTTGACGAAGCGAGCGGACGTATTGCACAAAACGGTCTGTTGGGCCATTTTGTTGGAGCCGGCAGAATTGGTCGATGTAGTCGTCGACCGTTTTTTGTGGGCGGAAGGTGGAGGTGATGAGGGTGGCCCACTCAAGGAAGGTGTTAGGTCGGAGACCGGCATGATGGCGATTGGTCATTTCGGTGTACCACAAAGGAGAAGTGTTGTCTAGGAGTCGGCTGCCAGCGATGGGGAGCCAGTGGACGACAGGAATGTCGTGGAGGGAGAAGGCATGTTGAAGTTTGGTGAGAAAGAGGAAGACATCCTAATGGGGTTTGCCTGAGAAGGTGGGAATCTCGTTGGCGCGGAATGATGCGGGGATTTTGCCTTCTCTGGGGTTAGTGGCGTCAAGGGCGTTGAAATCAAGGGTGGGAGAGGAAGAGTCGACCAGGGTGAAATCATTGGCGGGGTTGGTGGGGATGAGAGCATTTGGGGGAAGTAGAGGAAGAGCGGGATACATAGATTGTGGAATGCTCTGGGTATAGTCGGGGATGGTGGAGGTGATAACGGATGAAGTCAAGGGGGGTTTTGATTGGGGGAGGATGGTTGACGACTGTGTGATGGCGGGGGTTTTCGGCTGGGTGACTATGGTGGAGGTAGTGGTGGATGAAGGCGGGGGTGTGGAGGACGTGCTAGCGGAGAGGGTGGTGGATGTGGGCACGATCGTAGAGGGGGGTGTCGTGGTCGTGACCATTGTGATTGTTGGGGTTTGATGCTCGATAGTGGTCACACGGTCGGATAGGCCAGAGATACTGGTTTCGATTTTGTTGATGGACGCGCGGATGTCCGTTTGGAAAGAGGACATCATGCGAATGAGGGTGGCGATATCGGTGGCAATGGCGGGCTCGGTTCTTTGTTCGCCCATAAGTTCGCGGGCGAGGCTGTCAACAGACTGGGTGTTGACGGCGGACATGTCGATGCTGGGTGATTGGGCCATGGTGGGGGAAGATGGAGTGGACGAGGTGGCAGCAGCGGATGAGGCGTGGGCTGCGGATGAGGTGGAGGCAGATGCGACGGTAGCGGCGGCGGCAGCGGCGGCGGCTGCGCACTGAGAGTTCTTGCTTTGGCATGGCGTGCGGAGATTTGGGGGTGGAGGGGGTGGGAGTGCGGAGGGTATTCACAACAGTAATTGATTTATTCAAAAATAAATAAAGGTATTTGGCAAAACAAAAATGGGAATTAATTCAAAATAAATTATTCCGATTTGGAGTAATTTATTTGAGATTAATTCCAAAATTCGGAAAGGATTTTGAGGGAGAAAAGTTGGAAAAACGAGATTTTTAGGAATTTTAAAATGAAAAAATGCTCAAAATGTCAAAAAAGATAATTAATTTCGAAAAAATAAATTCTGGTTAAATTTATTCGAAATTAATTTTGGGGTAAAAAAAGCAAAATTTCAAAAGGAATTAAGCAAAAATTATTTTTGAATTTTGAAAAAGAAGTATCGAAAAAAAAAACAAACTAATTGTAACGTATTTTCAAAATTTTCGAAAAAGAATGAATTAAAAGTAGTTTCAAATTTCAAAGGAATGTCGAAAAAGAATGAATTAATTCTAACGTATTTCTAATTACAGAAAAAAGGAGTCTGAGTAAAAATGTTTTCCAATTACTGAAATTCCGAAAAAGAATTAATTAGAAATGTTTTCGAATTACAAAACAGAAATGTCGAAAAGAATTTAATTAATTGAATTTAATTCTGAAATATTTTCAAATTAAAATTTTCGAAAACAATTGATTAAAATAATTTCCGAATTTCGAGGAAGAAATGCCAATAAAAAATAACTAATTCTGTGTATTTTCCAAAGTTTCGAAAAAGAAAATATTTCCGAAAAGGAAATGTTGAGAAAGATAATTAATTAAGTAGTTGCAAATTTACAAGAATTGCAAATGAATGCAATCAGACTTGCTTTCTTTTCCACTTCGCACTCATGCAAATAGATGGTGAATCACACTGGCGCACAGCACCCACTCAAAGCTCAAAGATATGGAAGTCAAAAGCACAGTTCAGATACAAACTCGCTTCAACAGGCTGTGGCGCATCAGTGCCTGTACATCCCAACTCTCGCCTCGCTGTCCAGCACCACTGTTCGCACTCACTCAACTCTGGATCACCCTGGATATCCCACACGCATACACACTCACACACACACTATTACTAACACCAGCTATGGCCGCCGTGGCAGCCGGCTACTACTACCTATGGCACACTGTCCTCCTCACGGCCCACTTCCACTTCGGGCGACTGCAGACCACCTCGCACAAGTCGCTGGGGCAGCGCTTCCGCATGGCATACGCAGCAATGAATGTATGGCTGGACGCTGCCTCTTGATTTCTACTTCTCGTCGCTGGTCTGCCTCTTTCCACCGGGCCTATGGCGCACACAGTCCCACATGGTACTTGCTGATTGGACTAAGTGAGACTGGGACTGGGTACCGCTGACTCAACATGGGTGGACTCACCACTTGGCCACTTGCCTCTGGCCAAAGGTACGAATTCTCGAAAGGCCACTTCCAGACCTTCCGGAAGTCTGTAGACTTGGCCTTTCGGAACTGTAGCAGCTACGACCTTGACCTTTCAGGACTGTAGCAGCTATGACCTTGACCTTTCAGGAAGCCTACAGCTACGGCTTCTAGAACAGTTACGACCCCTACTCTATAGACCTACTGATCGAGCCCCTACAACTACACATCCCTACGACAGACAAAAACTCGACTATCAAGACACAGGTTAAGGGTTCGAACACTCAGGGGACAACTCGATATTGTACACAGGCAAGGTAAGGTCTAGGGATCGAGCCCTGGGATCGGCATCTGTTACTGCTAAGGTGAAAACCGTTTCACTCCCGCCGGCCT